TCAACAGTCGCTGGAACAATTATTGTCACAATGTACATTAGCGCAACAATCAATGGAATATGAACCGATATCTGATGATGAACTGGCGGTTGTTCATGTACGAGATGAACGGCCGTCAGTAGTGGAAATTATGTAATGTAAATAAATCATAAAATCATTTTTGACACACTAACTTGAGCTTTTCTCAAAAAGTGTAAGAGCTAGAAACTTCGTTGTTGCGCCATTCGACGCAGCGCGCCATACTCTACTTTTGATATGAAAATGAAGGTATGTGGTTGAAGACTTGAGTTTTTAGAACCGTTTTCCGGCGCTTGTCGCTGTGACGAAAAAAGGCCCTAAATGCGAAAATCTTTTGATTAAAAGCTAATTTGCTGCGAAATTAGAAGAGCTAATAAAAAACACCTCGAGCAAAGTTTGTAGAGGAGTAAACGAGCTACTGATTGCTAAAAAGAAATCTATCCAATGAGCTTTTCATTCCTCAGTAATTGTGTTTTATCGTCGTGACGCTGTGACATTTTTCGTGACGCTGTGACACTTGTTTTTCACCAACAAAGTTTGGGGCACTAAACATTGCTCAAAGGATTTTATTTCCACATCGAACTTAGTTTTACGCTTCTAATATACACTAACGTGAAAATAAAGCGGAAAAAATGTTTTCACTTTCTTGGAATTGTGTGAGAATCTTAAAACTTAAAACTTTATTAAAAAGCTTGTTTTGAATCTAAACCTCAAAAGAAACATACCATCTTGTAGAGAGTTCAATTCTCTCTGGATTAATGTGGCCTTCCATTTTTTATTAGGAAAGTGTCTCGGTGAGGAAATTGAAAATACAGTTTTCAAAAAATGTAAAACTGGATTTCTGGTGCCAAAATTTAACTTTTTTAAAAAGATAATGTGAGATTCGTAATCAGCGCTAAAAACTGCATCTAGTGATATGCTCCTTTCAGTTCTATTCCAAAATAATTTTTTCAAAAACTTGATCAGCGAAGTCCCGAGTTACGTGGACAAGCCGTTGAATGTCTCAAAAGTGCAATATGGATATCTATTCGAAATATCGCCTGACGACTCTCAAAATTTTATCACACACAATTTTGACTGCTCTTTCCACTGGCAGTCTCCAAAATTCAGAATACTCTGTTTGGCCATAGTGGATTTTCTATAGGAAACAGTTTTACCAGATCGAATGAATGCCTATAAAATGAGTCTAGTAACAGCTGTCGCTTTGGACATGGGTTTCAAAATTCGCGATCGTCGGTGAAAAAAATTATTTTTTGAAAATTTTGGGTGTATTTCGATTTCTGTCCAATTAAGACGCGATCTCAAGTCTCAGGATCATCTTCTACATACTATTTTGTAGAGAATCAAGCGAGAGGTGGTTGAATGCATTTTGCATTGAGGGGGCTTAACCTCACACCAACCCCATCCTTACTCTCACCGCCGCGTCGCGAGGGCTTTAGCTTACGATTAAAATGACTCCATCGTGTTTCACATTTTAACCCTCAGGTATTGCGCTGAAACCTTTTTATTTCGATTCACAATCATATTTTCTAAGTTAGACATTAAACAAGTGGGAAAAGTACATAGAAGACGTAGCGAAGCAGAAGTGTGCGTAGAGCTTCGATGTGAAGTGAATTATTTTGTGGTCGTTTCATTTTCCTAGATAAAGAGAAAATGTAGCGATCGTCACGCCAGCATCGAAAAAGGCATGAATACTACTATCCATTTCAATGAACAATGCAGTCGGTTGTAAGCTGAATAACTCCAGATAAGAAGTAGCTAGAGACCTGCGGTTTTCAACATTCGAAACAGAATAATATCTTTTATCGAGAAATGTCGAAAGCTGATTGGTCAACAATTGACCAATCAGGTGAGTGTTCGCTTAACATATTGGGCACTGCCTAGCGAAAAGATTCTCCGTTGGATTTGAAATTGTAATGCAACCATTCGATAGAGAAAATTGTTCTCTATTGATATACACAAGACCCAGCTCGTTGGCTCTTTCGTGCATTAGGTATCATATGTTTAAACGTCACCAATGTCTATTTCATGTGCATGTTCACGTTAACTATTTAGTGCTCTAAACTCGCCAATTGAACTGCGACTACAAAACGCCTGGTATTCGGAATTTTCATTGACTAGCGCGCGTGTTTGACGAAGTAAGCGTTGACACACTACATCAAAAGACTGTGATGAATAGGATCGTGCTTGTCCGTATCAAGATTGAGAAAATATTCACAAATTAAACGCCAGTTAGCCACCATATCTGATCAAACACTGGTATTAATATATTCTATAGAA